GATTGAGATAACCCATATTTAATTGTCTTCCATTCGTGTCAAAATTCATGACATGTGTACTACAGTCAGTATAGATTGATCATTATTTGGATGTTTTTCGTCGTTTTTAGTGTGAAGTTTCACTTCACACTGTTGTGATGGCTGGCGAATTCACACGAATCAGTCAGTCAGGCAATCAGTCAGTCATAGAGTAAACTTTCCGGGGGGTGTATACGATTTATGTTCGCAGTGATTTATTGTACTTAGTCAGTGCTTTGAAGGTTATTTAAGCAATTTTATTTATTTTCTTTAAATATTCTTTTGTCCTTTTGCCAAGTTCACAAAAATTTCGAGAAATCGTTGTCGTTATTTTAAATTTTTGTAATTTCAGAACATTCGCTTCTCATGTTGTGTAAAGGAACTTTTCCCCCGGAACACCCGATTTTTTCTATAGCAGGGCAAATGCGCATGCGCTATGAAGCGGTAGATCACGATGCTAGGAAGGAGCGACAGTGTCGTTTTCAAATGTATAAATTTAAACATTTCACACGTGAATATTGAGTAAATCTTTGAGAATCTACGCAATATATAAATTTATGTTATGCATGACGGTCTTTCAATCAAGTACTGATATATGTGGACGGTATATTCATTAATATACAGAGCTAGGAAGGAGCGACAGTGTTGTTTCCAAATGTATAAACATTTCAGACGTAAATATTGAGAAAATCTCTGAGATTCTAGGCATTCAATTGAGTGCCGATATTATTTTCACGGCATACTCGTTATACAGAGGTACAGTATACGTAGGCACAAGCGAGACAGTGTTGTTTTCAAGTATATGAACATTTCAGACATGAATATTGAGAAAATCTTTGTCCTTTGAGATTCTACGCAATAATACTATTATGTTGTGCATTACCGGTGTTCAATTAAGTGCCCATCGATATTATTTAGAACGTGTATTCATTATACATTGTCATTGACTGTATAAGGTGCTACATCACAGAATAGATGGCTACGCTCAGTACAAAGAGCGAAACAACTATTAAACAGAAGCGGGTAAACGTTTGTACGGCGTTTACGAAGAAAATAACTTGCGAGACTAAAGAAATCAGTTGAGTCAGAGCTCCTTATTTAAATAAGACAGACGAGGAGATAGCCAATGCGTTATCGCCAACATGTTATCGCCAATCGCTTGGCTCGCCAACAAGCTTTATGTAATAGAAAAAAAAAGCAAGGAGGTACATGTAGCCAATGTGTACCGTCACGGGCCTTGTCTTTGTTTACTGTCTAGCACAACGCCGTTGTCAACGGTGTAAACTCTTGTTCAGTGCAACCATAACTCTACCAGATCTTACGAGAATCAATCTGTAGTATTCTGTACACAGAACTGTTCAAAGCTTGTCAAAATTGCTTTAAACACTGCTTAATTGTAAAACTATTGAAATCTAAAGTGACATTATTCAACACATGCGAAAAGCTGAAAATAGACGTGACTAGAGGTGTGCGAATCCGATCCGAATCCGATCCGAATCCAATCCGATCCGATCGGATTCGGATCGGATTCGGACAGTAAATTACTCGGATTGGATCGGATCGGATTTCGTTTTGTTTCTGTCGGATCGGATCGGATTTTGCAGGTTTTTTGTCGGATCGGTTCGGATTTGATTTTTCTTGTATCACGTCGAATTATTCGAATATTTTTACAATATTTGTGAAATTGTAAATTATGAAAATGCGTATGATTTTACGTATGATTTTACGTTGTATGAAATCAAACAGTGTCCAGTTTTTTTTTGAACACCTGGTATAAAAGTGTTTTGAGTTCTTGTGACATATATTTCTAAAAATAGTTTTGAGTTATTTGGATTTTGGACGTATATTTCTCAGTTACGTACGGGATTGGATATATAGGAAATTTAGGAATGTTGTGTTTTTTTGTTTGGTTTGTTAGGTTTATGTATCATGAAGCCTGACAATGAGGTTCATTAGTGATAAACTTTAAGATGTTTTAAAATGTAAACCTATCTCAAGCTCATGATTTATTATACTGAATAAAACATTTTTGACTAGTTGGGTTTTTTTTCTATGCTAATTCTAATAAAATATAAACTGCTGTTACTGTGTACTGTAAATGTGAACGCTATAAGGCATAATTATGTGATATCGCCCTGCAATTTTTATCGGATTCGTATCTGCTTATTTTTGCTAGAAATTCATTATTTCCAATATATCGTTTATGATCATGAAAAAATACGTTCATAATAATTAACGCACGCTGTACAGCGTACACAACTTAAGTTCGGATCGGATCGGATTACGAATTTTAGCATCGGATCGGATCGGATTTTATAAACATTGTTTCGGATCGGATCGGATCGGATTACTTTTTTCATCTTCGGATCGGATCGGATTCGGATTGAGAACTTAGACAAACCATCGGATTGAGAGAGGTCAATCCGATCCGACGCACACCTCTAGACGTGACACTGGGAAAAGTCAAAGGTCAATGAAACTTGTTATTGTGAAGCATGTCACAATTAGGTTGAAATGCGGAAGCGGATGGAGCGGATCCACGGAACGGATATGCGGATAGAATACGGAACGGATGAGGATAAAATGCGTCCTTTTAATGATGTAACGACGTAGTGCTTATTATTCATAACATATCTTACACAGCTATTTCAATTATAGTTTTAGATAAATTTAGCATAGCAGTAGCCTCGTGGGTAGCTTTTAGCGACAGCTGCAAATGCAAATGAAAATTTAGAATATGCAAAATTTGGTTGTTGGTGAAACCATTTAAATTTTGAATTGTCTCGTGTAGCATCGTGTAGCATCACAATAAATAGATGAATTGCATCAGTTTCACAAGTCACGTTTCTGGTGTGTTATGCTTGTTTCAAACGTCACGCTACTCGTGTGCCCAGCGTATTAAAAGCAATAAATAATGAGATCAAATGCCTTTGGTAACTGTTTATTTCGTAGTGTAAGCCATCAGCTTTTCTAGGTTGTCGGCGACCATATATAGTTCTTGCAGTGTCTTTTTCAATTCGAAACTTCACACTATCCTTGGATCCCTAGTTTAAATATTACATGAAACACAGCGGTTTAAAAAAAATGCCAGCAGGGATTCATCTACCTGAAAAATACAAGTAAGGCCAGTTTTCCACTTCAATCGTATCGTACCGAAACGTAGCGTATTTCTTTCGGTTTCCTGAGCACTAGTGTGGAACTAATGACTCCGACACAAAAGAAAATGCTGCGGTACGTTACGATACGGTTGAAGGGGAAAACAGGCTTAAAACTTCGACGTTTCGAGCGAGGCTTTCGAAACTTGTATTTTTCAGATGGTTGAATCCTTCTCAATCCGCAGCTATTTTCCTCATATTTATTGGCATGCAATAAAACAACATACAGAAAACCAACTAAACATGCACTGACTGGGGGGGGGGGGCTATACATTCCCCCAGTTGTTATATGTTATAACATGCATCTTGATGGGATTGGTTTCAGGTTTAGAATTTGCTTTCAAATTAAACATCTTCAACCGTAATAATTAGTAAAATCATAGTCATACAGTCGACAATTTCTGGATGAACTGCATTTTAATGAACTTTATTGCGCATACATTTATCGTATTTATAGACTAAATTAAAGCTAGACAGTTTTTCTTAAAATAGTTAACAAAATGTGAGATGTTTTTCTTTGTATACGTGTTCTTCATATTATGTGCGATCTTTTCGGACATTCAGCTTAACACATTGATTCTCAACGCAGCACTGTTTGGAATCGCACGTCTTCTTCTCGCAAATTCCTGGACCTTTGAACCTCTGAAGCTCTATACTTCTAGTATTATCGGAGCCTGCCAGTTCGCTCAGGTGGTTTTCGCGACACTCACATGTGCATTTGTGTGCGCGACTCACACATAGGTAGAGTTGATGGCTCTTCATGCAGTTCGCGAATTTGGGGTGGCGACATTGTTCACAGCAATCAGAGAGGGGTTTGTAGACGTAATCGTCCTCACGCGACTCAAATAATCCGAAGATATAGCATGAGTTAATAGGGAAGCCAGTCTGTATTGAAAGAAAAACAAAAATGAAAAGAGCTTGTTGCGAAAAAAGCGCCGAATAAAAGTTATTGAAACTTAATATTTGAAAATAGTATTGAACAGTAATATTTCGAATTTATTAAGTCATAATCGTACGGCACGTTCAAATCTTTGTCATTTTCCATTTACAAAATGAAAATCCACAAGTAAAATTAAAACAGTCAAGACTGTCGATAAGAGGATTCAATACTTGACTTGAAGCCTGGTAAGGTATAATAAATGTATTTACTGTAAAATACTCATTAATAATTCATTAACCTTGTGGCAAATCATGTCAGCCGTAATATGTCACGTGCAGGAGTGACTGTATATCTGATAAAACACATGTGACATTATATAATTGTTCATCCTAATTAGTATTCTTATATATAAAGAATACTAATGAGACATCTTTTGTAGTCGTATTTTACCAGATGATCTTGATGCGCGGAAAAGTACTGGCACTAGTTGTCAAATAGAAATCCAATTTGTGATTAAAACAACTGAATATCTGCCGTAATATACTTTATTTCGATTCCATATTTTTGTCAGAGCTATAGTTCTCATAACCAAACATAATTACAAAATTTCAACTAGTTTCATAAAGAATAACGAAAGATATAATTGACTGAATACATCAAAATGGATTTCTATTCGGACAACCCTTTCTGAGCGCTGATTGGCTAAAATACGAACACGAGATCACCTGGTAAGCTATTCAAAACACAGGTTGTCGGCTGCGGCTCGCGTTTTATATCTGATAAAACACTCCTATACTCGTGTTTTAAATAGAACATAAATTTACACTCGATAATTTCTATCAAAACTATCTGAATAAAAAACAACTTTTCTTAGAGAAGAAATATAAAAATGCAGACAGCTGGGATAATATAAGCCTGCACGAGGAAGTGTTTCATTGAATATTTTTGTAAGCTGAATAGTGAAAACTCGAGATATAAGAGGTTAATCACTGACCGAAATTTTGGGCAGATCTCACAAGCGTGTTTTTCGTTGTTTAAATTTTATCAACAATCAGATACTTGCTTACCGCTGACTGTCTCTTTTCCCGACCTGTTTTAGTCGCCAGACTCTGTTTCACAGCTTCCTTCCATTCTTCGAGCATTGGATTTCGCGGACAACTCTTTGGTGTTTTCGGAAGCGAGCTCGAGCCTTTGCTGAGAAGTACCAACTGTAAAATCACCAGGGCCACCAGTATTCCCTTCATGTTTGCTGTAATACAGATCATATGTACAGATGGACGTGTAATATAAACCAGTACAGTGAACCAGACCTTAGAGGTCTGTTTTTAAACCATCCGCCTACGAGCAAAATATATACTATAGAAAATTGCTCAGAGATTTTTGCGTGTGACGATGAGTCGAATATACCATCTATTGCAGCACAATGGACATTTGCATTATAGACTAAATTTTGATCTAGACAAAAATTTCATCACAGCTTGAAAGAGCATCACAAAATTAGTAATATTCCAAAGTTTCGTTGCGAAATGTTGTAAAATGCGGATAATATAGCCTTGCGAAATTTGCAATTTTCAGTCATTTTGTATTACAAACGGGAAATTGATGCCCCAACACCCGATTGGGCTGCCAATTTCCCATTTGTAATACAAAATGACTGAAAAACGGCAAACTTCGCAAGGCTATATTATCCGCATTGCAATTACGCGGAATAGAAAATAATCTCTGTTTTAAAAAACCCTATTTGCACCACCTACACTAAACTGAACTAATTTTAGGGGAAGATTAGTCATTGATTAACTATAAGTTTATAATTATATATAACGTTATAACGTTATAATAGTTATTATCACGTTAATCGTTATAATTATTATTATCGTCGCTTTTTAGAAAACTGGTAGTTTGTTTCAAAAAGTGAATAGAACTAAATGTTAAAACCGGTTTGATCGACGAACGTGAGGAAAGCTTTTTTTGTGACAAGCTGTTTGATCATTTAACGTCAGTTTTATTTATACTCGTATATAATGCAGGCGACCTTACCAAATTTTTCTATGACATTTTTGCTAATCTGCACATGGGTCAACAATGAAAGAAAATTTGGAATGAACATTTGCATGTTGTTGGGCAGCGATCTATTCTACCATACTGAGTGTTATTGCGCTGGCCTGAATTGATAGACAAAACTT